AATAATTCATAAGGAAAGTAAGGAAAGGGCTAGGATAAGGAAGCAGGATACTTCCTAGTGCTAGCACAATTAGCATAAGCGGGGTGGGGGGGTACCATTAGGCAAGACTAGGCAGCTGCCTAGGGCCCCAAGTTCCTGAGGGCCCCATAAAACTCTGTTTCCATGTATGGTTAATAAAGCTATTCCTTTGTGCACATTAATTATGTTTTTGATAAAAATCCTTTGGCTAAAATGCCATCAGAACGCTCATAATATTAAGTGTGTCTCAGCCCACCTGCGGCTGGTGACTCATCACTGAGGACTACACTGGAAAAATCCAAATCTAGATAAGTAATCTTTTTCTTTAAATAATTGCATTTGTTCTTGGATTGAGGAGGTAACCAAGACATTTTGCCAATAGAACAAGACAATTTACACTTAAAATAAGAAAACACAGTTGCATTGTCTTTTTTCAAGCACATATTATCTAATTATCTTATTTTAAAAGTAAAAATACTCATTCCATTGGCAAAATCTCCATTACCTACTCAAATTAAGGTTAGATACACTTATTTTAAGAAATTTTTACTTATTTCTTGATAATTTTCCCAGTGTATTTGAGCCATGGACTGGCACTACCTCGGCGCCAGTTTTGGTTGCTCTAGCCAAGCTGAGTTTAGCTGAGTCTAACTGAGTCTTTGTTTCACTGAGCCTAACCTTGTTTTTTGTCTGCCTTTTCAGCAGGAAGTTATCCTGCAAGCTGGATGTTTGGCCTTCTCCCCCTGAAAGGATTATTTGAGTCTCACACTGAGCAGGGGATAAACCTCCACAAGTTCTGTTCAAGTTCTCCTGGGTTTCCGAGTGACAGTCCGCTCTATAGCTCCTCCGGGTCCAACAAATGTCTACCTGTCCGCTCTCCAACGAGTCACTACCTCTGGATCAAAGTGAGAGAGGAACCCCCCCAAACGTGAATACCTTACCTTCCGGCATCCAAGATTCCCACGGTACCTGAAGTCACCTCTGTGAACTTCCCTCCTCCCTTCCATACTGGTTCACCAGTACACAGAGTTTCCTGAATCCAACCACCGTTGATCTTTCAATAAACCTGTTCAACTTTTACCCTGATTCTCTGAGTGGTTCACTGCATGTGGATCAGATCCTTAAATAAATCATGACACTATAAAAAAATTCTGTATCTGTATAATGGGTTTGACTGTCTTTGCCTAGGGCCCCACATTTTCTAAATCCGCCCCTGGATCACATAGGTACCTTCTGACATCCCTGGTAGCAGCTGGGAGCTCTGCGGTTGCCCACAATTCTTTGCATGGCAAACCATATAGGAACGGCCAACCTCACAGAGTCTAACAAAAATTTGTTGTGTGAGACTCGTCCATTAATGTCACCTTCATACATTTGGAGTTTTATAATTAAGAGCTTAATCCATTTATTACATTAGAGTAACTTTATTTTTGTTGTTTTTCCCAAAAGGCTGTAGCCCCCATTCTACCAGCCCTCGTTCATGTCTGCCTTCACCTGTTAATGAAATCCATAAGGCTGAAGGCTGCAGTGTGGAGCTCCTTTCCTACCCTGGGCAGCGTTCTAACTGTTAACCCTGCAAAAGGTGAAGGGATGGGATCGAGTCTATTTCTACTGTTAGCTCTGGTGCTTAAAAGGACAAATGGTTTAAATTAATCTCTGTACTGGTTTTTATTACTTTCAGAACCTGCATTGGCTGAATTTACTGGAATCGGAGTCACTTCCTTCCACTGCTTTGCTGCATCCTCCATATGGCAAAACAAACAGCTGCCTTGGAGGCAAATACTTCCACCTGAGCTACAGATCTCTACTGCTCCTCCAGAGTAGCAGTGGACATTTTAGTTGTTGGATTATTTCCCCATATAAGGGAATTAATTGCTTTGGTTTTATAATAGATAGATACATCGTTTTTTTTGTTGTTTCAGAGCATTTTACTCCGTTTAGTTTCTTGTATTTCACTGATCAACAAACAGTGTTGATCTGTTACATAAACTCAAAAAGCTTGTGGATTTGCCATGACAACATGTTATGGAAACTCAGTGATTACAAACAAAAAGATCCAACAAATGTGTTCTTCATCAGCCAGAGGCTTTATAGTCCGTCTACTTTCCCTGTGAGTCTTTAGCCAGCTGCTCATCCATGCTGCTTATGCAGTTTGAAGCATCAATAACCTCACAATGTTCCTCAGTCAAATGGACGACAGTAGGTTTTATTTTTAACAGGTCGACTGCTTTCAGAAGCTAATCCTTACACATGGCTGACAAATCTTCATAATCCTTCATCTGCTGCCCTGCTCAGAAACACACAGGTCATCTTCATCCAAGGTTTTAGGAAACTCCTTTAGATCACTTCCTTCCCTGTGTGGAGCGCCTGGACTTGTGGCCTCCATTTAGAGCGGAGTGCTGATGGAAGTGACAGAAAGTGCCAAAACCCATTGGTGATAAAAGATGCATACTGCCGTGTTGTGCTGGGGATACAGCAAGACAGGCTGAGAGGCAGATAGACTGAAGCAGCTGTCATAGTGGTTGTTTGTAGCCCCGTGCGTACGGTGCTTTGGGGAAATAATAAACTGCATCATTAGAACGCCTGTCATTCACGAGCAGTATGCATAAGACGTGGCTGGAAATACCCACACCAAGGCGTCACACAGAGAGCACGGGTTAGAATCGTTAGGTGGCTCATTTAGCAGAGAAAAACAGCTTTTATGGGATGATGTGCAGGTGCAAACACACACCAGGACCCAGCAGAGCTATAAATTAGTGTCACATACTCTGCATTAAAGCTACGAGGCAGACTTTCTGCAAAATCAATCAAACCCTTTAGATACAGTTTGTAACTAAAACAACAGCCATTTTTCTTTTTGTCTTGCTATTTTTGATTCAGATCTTTTTTTATTTAAGATGAAATCCACAAACTGCAGTGTGCACAGGCCTCTGGTGACATCACACGAGGCAGCAGATCAAATCAAAAGGCTCTTTGGTGGTTTTTGTCTTTCTCTTCTCTTTATCAGTATATTTTTCTAATAAATCCCTTTAATTTCTTGCTGTAAATAATAACTGTTGTCGTTTGCTTTAGCTTCTGCACCATTGGAAGCATCCGTTACGGTGCCGTGCATCATCAAAGTCCAACTCCGGCTCAAATATGTCAGTTTGAATCCATTTACCTTCAAATGCAGGAAAGGGAATAAATATCTATGAATAACAACAAACAATTGGGAATTTCTTTAAAAGAAATCCATACTAATTCTGACGTATATTGGCAGAGAACAAATGTGATCCTACAAACAATAAAAACAGTGATTATTTTTACCAGTAACACCTGGAATCAGATTATTAAGACTTTCTAGCATATTAAGAGGCTTACTGCAATAAAAACAAACAAATCATTTCCATCTTAAAGTAAAAAAAATTTAACTTTCTATGATTAAAATCAACCTGAGCTTATATCTTTTACGTTTAAGTTCAGAGTATAAAATTAACATTGTTTCTTTCACATTTTTTTTCTCCCACCTAACTTTCCATTTGCATGAAAGGATCCTTTGAACCCTGAAAAATTGGGTCCTTCTCAGAGCTCAGGTGTGTGTGAGTGATGCATCTCTCCAGGAGAGGATCTTTGTGGAGAACCTGGTTAGTCTCCACAGGTGGAGCTCATCAGTCTCATCAGAGTGCTGGACTTTAAAGAGCAGCAGAGCCTTCACTCAGCGCTGGTTTCTTCTGGTTGATGATGAAGGTTCTCAGTCATCCAGGTCAAGTTAAAAAAAAAATATCCACTGGACTTGGTTTTCAAAGTTTGAAGACGTTTCTCCACCTCTCCAGGAAGCTTTCTCAATTCAAATGTCTGGATCCGCAGTGAGTTTGAGTCTTTATAGAGACAAGGCCTTGTATTGCTGGGAAACATGCAAATGGTAACCGATGAATGGGTCGTTTGGTTCCATCGTTAGCCTGTAATACCTGAAACCTGTCTATGATTCTGGAGGTCGGTTGTTAAAGGGGGGGGGGTTGTCTCCTGTAATACCTGAAACCTGTCTAGGAAGTTTCTTCTTGTTGTTTTTTTGCCTCCTCCTCTCTTTGTTCCCTATGTTTGGTTTTTCCTGATGTTTTTTGGATTTTTTTGTTTTTTTCAGGATTCTTTTTTTTTGTATTTTCCTGGATTTTTGCCTCAGTTGGCTGTTAGTCCTGAATTAAATCAGCAAAACTCATCTCTGGGTCCTTAAAGTCTCCACCCAACCTGACAGTCTTACCTGAAATATGAACAAAATAATTGAAACACGTTCCCAACTTACAGATGCAGCAAAATGTATTTAGATATTAGGAGTAAAGTTGGTGCTTTTCACTCACCTGACCTGGTTGACTTGTCGGCTGCATGGTGGAGCAGCGGGTAGCACAGTCTTTCTGCTTGGAGTTTGCATGTTCTCCCAGTGCATGAGTGGGTTCTCTCTGGGTACTCTTGCTTCCTCCCACACTCCAAATGGATTCTCTAGATTCTGCTGCTGGAGATAAAGTAAAATGATGGATCTTTAGTTTTTTGTCAACAAGTATGCAGCAGCTGTCTGAATCTGAGTTTTATTGAATGAATTGAAGATAAGATAAATGAAAAAATAAATTAAATAGTATCCAGTTTATATTTAGATTAGTTAAGATTTAGAAATAAAGCAAAGAAGTTCATTACTTTTAACTTAAGTTTTGAAATTGAATAAAATATGATTTGAGTCAAATTTACATGTTTCATTGATAAGCAATATATGGTATAAAATTTAGTTTGTTTGGTAAATCAACTCTTCTTGGTCAGCAACAATCAACTGTGATGTTATTGACTAAAATTTAAAAAATAATTACCGATTGAAAAAACTTTCCTAGTTTTTTTAATGTGTAAATTCCTTCCAGCTTGCAGAATGAATCGATGTTGTTGAGACGCACCTGAGTGATCCTCTGTTCTCCACAGAAACTCTCTGACCTGCTGCTGTTTGGGTCGGTTTTCATTTTTCACTTTAGAATAGTAAAAACCAGCAAAGTTTGTGATGGTGAGTCAGCACTGCACAGGAGCGCGGAGCGGCCATCTGGCAGCACCTGAAGCACTCCAAGCGGACATCCAGCCCTCCTGACGCCACTTGGCGGCTTAGATCCTGTCCATCTCTGAGCCACACCCCCTTTTCCACCGGAGCGGTGGTACGATCCATGCAGGCAGCACCGAGCCTCACCAGCAGCTCCAGCCTCAGTCTCTCTGGGTTCAACGGCGGCTAAACGCACCAAACCGCGCTCCCTGTACCGGAGTGGCTCCTTCCATATATAGAGAGAGATACCTCCCCCCCCCCACTCCCTCCCTCCCTCTCCTCCTCTCTTAGTGCAGCGCAGCAGGACGGACTGACTTGCTGGCGCACAGCCTCTGCTAGGAGATCCCTTCCCTTCCTTTCTATAGCGCGCAAACCTTTTTCCTCTCTATCGGCATTTGGGAGCGATCAGCATCCTCAGCATCCTCAGCATCCTCTGCATCCTCTGCATCCCCAGCACTAGCACCGCCACCTCGCAGCCACATTTCCTACCAGGAGGAGGAGGATTGCTTACAGGCGCAGAAGCTGACTAAAGGCATGGCTTTACATCAGGATGAAGGTGAGAGGCGCCTTTAGTTGTGGCCTGTTTTGGGGGG